GACAGACTGGACAGACTGGACAGACTGGACATCAGCAGTAGAAGGGACAACAGAGAAGCTGAACTCTTCTTGAGGAAAGAGAAGAAAATGTTTTTTTTTGTGCATTTAGTCTTTTTATTAATATTGTAGTCGTAACATGTCATTATTGACGTTTTTTGACGTTCATCATGTCACAGCTCTGTTGTGTGTTCTTGTGTTCGTTGCTTTAGTGTTATCCTTATTATGAGCCACCGGGGGATGTAGTGAGTTGTTTCTGTACAATCTCTAAGGTGTCCGTAGCCATAACGTCATTATTAAGACGTGGATTTATTCAGAAAAGACGCCAGCGAAGGCTCAGGAGTGAGACACCGGCACACACCGCTGCCGTCTGGGTTGTACCAGTGAGCGCAGTCTGCAGATAAAGTCCGAGCAACAGGAGGGATTGGAGGTGCTCTGCACCACTCACCTCGGAGCTGGCGTGAAGTAGTTTCAGTGGGATCTTAAGAAATCGACAGGCAGGCAGAGCAGAGCAGAGCAGAGCCCCTTTGAATTCACCTCCTCTGCAATAGGAAGGACTCCTTGAATTGGCTCAGGAGGAGATGAATGCTCGCTGAATCCCGAATGAGGCGACGGCAGGGAAAGGCAACGGAGACGCTTCCATATGCATGACTCTCCACCAGTCCTCTTCTTCTTCGTCCTATTCTTGTCAGAGTTCAATGGATGTGATAAAGCCTTCCCGGCTGAGCTTAGCTTAGCTTAGCTTAGCTTAGCTTCTCTTCTCCTGCCCCAGAGTATGGCCAGCTCACGTTGAGTGAAGCTTCAGGTTCTCATTTAGCCCAGTTCTAAACGTAATCTACATACTCTAATCTAGAGGACAGATTAGGACTGTGGTTAAGGACTGGCTGTGGAAGGTCAGGCAGGTCAGGAAGGTCAGGAAGGTCAGGAAGGTCAGGTCATATTGTTCTTTTGTCAGGTGTTCATGCACGTTTATGAGAATCATACACAGGAAGTCACTAACTAGACTGGCGACCAGTGAAATATATATATTAATATATGTTTGTGTGTATGCATAGCTCTATATATATATACAGTATATATGATGGGCCGTTCAAAAACACAAAATATATTCCAGAGCATCAGTTGTGCCTTTAACTAAAACTAAAATGAGTAAAAACAACGAGGTCTTTGTGACGAAATAAATACAGTCATTATGAAAAAAAAAAAGAATTAAAACCACATAATTCACATTGATGATTTTATGCTGATGTCACCAGTGCTAAAATTGACCCCAAACCTGTCAACTTTGCTCATTTGTAATGTTAACATTAATAATTATTATTCCTATTCTTGCTAATTGGACAGAGTAGATGGACTGCTGACACAGCGTGTGGGCTGTTGGACCACTTTGACTCCAATCTTTTTTTTCCCACCCATTAAAATATTAAAAAGGATGCAGTTCATAACTGAAGGACACTTGGAGGGAAAACTGGCACAAAAAAAAAAAAAAAGAAATCTCCAGAGTCTCAAGAAGCAACATTCTCCAAGAGCAATTTAAGACAGTAAAATTTTACGATGATGGAATAAACTCATAGAAATGTCAATATATTTCTACGTTGTAAAGAAGAAAAATGACCCGCTTTTTTTTTTTTTGCAATAGCGAGCCAAAGAGTAGGAATATATTAACAATTCATGATTCATCCGTGGCAAAGAATAATGACCTTAAAACAAACTTTTACCAAGGAAGCAGTTTTTATGATGAGGAGTTTTTTTTTTTTTTTTTTTTTCAAATATCGAGCTTCGTCAACGTCATATCGAGGAGGAAGTTCCAGGAAGGCAGACTGTGAAGGTTCTGGGCCAATGCGTGGGGGGGTCGGGTGGGGGCTGAAGGTGAAAACTCAATGTAGCATTAAAGGTCACCCAAGATAGTTGGTCAAACGCCCTTTTCTTTGTACATAAATTTAAATAAATACTCAACCAAACCCTGCAAAAAACCCAAGACAAACATATTACGGGGGCGTGGGGGGTGGGGGGGTCAAAGGTCTCAGGAAGTCAGTCTATGAGTGCATCATTGTTCAGCTGCCGGTCTTTTTAAATGGTCGCTGTTTTGGAATTTCATCAGAATCAGAAAGAAGCTGATCTCTGGAAGGAAACTCTCATTTTTTTTTATATATATTTTCATTTTTTCCAGAGTATTACTCATCTAGAAATAAGGAATATTCTTAAACCCAAAGGTTGAAGTACATTTATTGGTCCATACAGTCGGGGAATACACTCCACTGTTTATACTTTCAAAGTACTGAGTATTTGTTTTGTTTTTTTCTCTGCTTCCCCTTCATTTTACTTTGACTCCTTCATTCCTGGCAGCGCGCCGTCCCCTGGAGGTAGAAGTGATGAATGTTAATGGTAAATACGCTCCGCGTGCTGTAACTCGTGCGCTCTCCACGCAGGAGGCTGATTTGGTCTCGGTGGAACCTTATTTTTAACACCGGGCCTCAGTAAAGGACTGTTTCCACAAACATCGGCCGGTTGGATGTGTTCTCACACAAAGATCATCACCGACAAATGTTCACAACCAGAAAAGAAAGATGACGAGAAGAAATCAGAGCACTTGATGAATCTTCCCTTTTCTTTTCTTTTTTTCTTTTTTTTGTCGTTGGACAACTGTTAGCTCAGACTCACTGTTCCACACGAAGCCTGCAGGGAACGTAAGACGTTTATTTGTTAAAGATAATGATGCTGAGAGTTAGCTGTTAAAAACAAAACAAAAAAAAAACAACTGTCATGGTCGTTCATCATCACTTGCAGAGGATACAAGGCTCAAAGGCACAGTTTCAGTCCCGTCTCCTCGTTCTGCAACCGGAGCTTTTGTTAAAGGAAGTGATTAATTAAGAACGCAGGGGGAGCGTTAACGAGGGGGCGACGAGGAGACGGACGTGTTTTGTTATGACAGACTAGTGAATGGACTCTGTTGTTACTGTGTAGACAGGTGGCGCTCTAACAGTCAGAGTCAGAGTATTTCCAGCACAGTTACACACACACACACACACACACACACACTGCAGCATTTACTGCAGGTGTTCTTCTTAAAAAAATGCATATATTTAAAGTTTTTTTCTGTTCCAAACAGGATATTTGAAAGTCTGACAAATGAAGGACCAAAGAAATACATATTTAAAGAGGTCAATGGGTGAAAACAATATTCTTAAATATATTGGTGTAACATTTTTACTGATTTTTGATGATCAAAGAGCTGATCAAGTACCAATACCTAAGAACTGCGATACTTCAGAAATATCTGAAAAACTTTTGCCTTTGATTCATCACAGCCTTGCAGATCAATGGCAGTTTATTGTGATTCTAACGTCAGTCATCTTAGGGTCCAGAGACTGACACAAGCCAGGCCGCGAACCTGATGTTGAATCCTCCACAGATTCTAGAGACGGGATTTGAAGTTTGAGCTTCTTCAGTGAAACTAAAACTTTTTGGACAGTGAATGAATTCACGGTTGTTTAAAGTGGATTCACTCTGGAAAAACCAACTTATTTTAAAACACATCGTTGTAACATTTGTCACACGTTGGTGATGAATGGAGAGTTTCACAGTCGTCCAGATTCAGGTTCTATAAATATTTCTTCAAGGTTTCAGATTCGTACTCTGTGATAAATGGATACGTGTCGGATCAGAGGAAGAAAAGAAAAGAAAAACAAAAGAAACAACATGTCGGACTGAGTTGGTCGTGTTGAGGACAGATAGGGAAATGATCCGTCGAACACTTTTATTGTGTTGGAGTAAGAAGAAAAGATGATAAAAAAAAATAAAAAATCTGGTCTCATTGTATATGATTTTTTTTTCAGTCGTATTGTGTCCGATTATTGCCTTAAACAACGTGTCCCGGTCTTGTTGGTGATGAGGAGATAAGAGGACAAAAGAGAAAAGACTGGAATGACTGGTGCATTCTGGGTAACATAAGGCCATGCATTTTAAATAGAAAAGCAGAAAGCCTTTTTGTCTGTTTTTTTTTTTTTTTTTGTGCCTGGTGAATATACTGCATTACAATAGTGGGAATAAATGAAGTGATATCATAGTAAATAATAGTTTATAGTAAGTTTGGAGTTATTTCAACGGAGAATTGTTGCTCTAGTTAGCATATGCATTGTGTAGATCACAATAGAGCTGGAGACCCAAAAAAAATGAAAAAAAAAAATCTATTTTTTTTCAAATAGTGTTGATTACTGATAGTTAGACAGGTAGTAGTAGTAGTTGTTGTAGTATTAGCAGCAGTAGTATTAGCAGTAGCAGTAATAGTAGTGGCTAGTAGTAGTAGTAGTAGTATTAGTAGTAGTAGTAGTAGTAATAGTAGTAGTATTGGAGACCACATGATATTTCCTCTTCTTTTTCACAATTTTTCGAATCCAGTTGCGGACTGGATTGTTCAGTTTGGCGGGCCAGATTCAGCCCATGGGCCACCAGTTGAGAATCACTGGTGTAGAACTACAGAAGAGGATTCAGTTTGTCTGACAGTGTACAGTTACCCGGTGATAATACTGGACCCACAGGAGCGGTGGGCTGCACTTTCAGAGCCGACAGGAAGCTGGGGAGTCGTTTTTTGGTGCTTGCACCATGTACCACAGTGGTGCCGTGGCTTGAACCACCAGGCCAGTCAGCAGATCTGGAGGTGGGCTGACTAACCAGGTCAGCGTTGTCCCATTCTGGATTTAAAGCAGCTAATTTGCTGAGTGTATTGTGAGTGAGTCGAAGCTGCGTTTTTCCTCCTGAGGGACGATGAGTAATTCTGCAGAGCAGGTAGATCTGTGATGGGAGGTCACGAGCTGCTCCAGTGGAGGAGTAGATAAAGTTAGAGGATGACGGGAGGAGGCCAGATCATATCTGTATGACCGGTGTTTAACATGTAGAAGAACATGTTTTACTTATTACCAAACTGAGTTCCAGTTTTGTGTCTGTGAAAATCTCACAGTGGAGTTACAGTCCAGTAAACTCGACTCCACTTCTTCTTCACACAGCTGGAGGTTTCCACCACGGACTTTGTCGGGAACATCGTGGAAGGACCCGCCTTACTGCTGATCACCGTCATCGACCAAAACGACAACCGGCCCATCTTCAAGGAGACGCGTTACTCTGGAGAGGTGCTGGAAGGATCTCCCACAGGTCAGTGACGCCGTTGTATCGACCGACTCTGGGGATGAGTGGAGTCTTACTGGGATTTGGCCCGGTGACACCGGTTGTACATGATGTTCTGGGATTTTGACCAGAGTGCTCGGTAAGACAGGAGCCTAATGGACCGAGGCCCGATCCAAATCCAGAATAAGCCGGGACAAACCCGAGTTAGGGCCGAGAGCAGTGCACTAACGTACGGTACAGATCAGCTGTTGGATACTGAAGCGGAGCAGCCGTCACTGGAGCTCGTAACTCGAGGTGCTCGAATCATTTTTTCCCATAAGAAATAACAGAAAGAAACTTGACCCCTGAATATTGGACAGTTGAGTTAAAAGAAAGCTCAAAGTGATTGTCTATTTGTTCCTGTCAATCAGAGGTTTGGGGTACGATTCCCTGTTGTCTCCTTTTTTTAAGATGGGTTTCATCAGAAAGACAAGCTGTTTAAACAAAGCTCCGCTCGTGAGGATGGTCACTGCTGTAGTGACTGGCTTTAAAAAAATTGTAGTAAATGCATTTTTTTTGGTATGAATTCTCTGTGTGTACTCCGACCGTTCCATGTCTCCTTAAACTGCTAACGTGACATTTTGCGAATTTTGGTCCAGATAAACCGACTGTTTCAGGCTGTTCCGTGGAGCTAACTGCAGTTCGTGTTAGCATTAATGATGTGTGAGTGTGTGTTCACTGCAGTGTGTGTGTGTGTGTGTGTTCACTGCAGTGTGTGTGTGTTAATCCCAGACATGACTCAGTGACGGTGAGGTCAGGACTCACCGCTGGGGCCCAGACTGTCTGTTCAGAGGACTCCTTGTTCTTCCTTGTTGAATGTGGCTGCTCCGGGGGGGGGGGGGGGGGGGGGTGGTCTGTCATGCAGACCTGCCTGGAAAGCTGTAGAGAAGCAGGTGCAGATTTGGACGTGATGAACCCGGTGCCATGGTTTTCTCAGTGCTGTCTGACTAACGGTGCAAATCTGATGTTTCCCACACACAGTACGGCGTTAAAGCAGTAAATAAATCAAGTCATAATGAAAAACACCATCTGTAATCCAACATATTATGAAAGCTAGGATTCAGGAGGTGGAATTATTTTTTTTTCCCATCTGTCCTTGAGCCAGAAACCCCATGCTAGGCTGGTCCCAGCGCTGAGGCTGTTTCTCAGCGTGGAACCTCAGCCCTCGTCGTCACAGTGTGTTTACGTTAGTGTTGGTTCAATATATGACCTGCTGGTAATCCATGAATTTTTAACCATGCAATTTTCCAGATGTGTTATTACCAATACATATCACAGTGTTTTTATTTTCTGTACATTTGCACCAAAAACCTCGTTAAAATTGTGGTCGTGCAGTTAAATACTAAATGGGAACTGTATGTTGTAGAAAACAATTAAAAAAACTCAAATGATTTCCTTTAGAACCAGCAGATAAAATGATAGAGAGCTGAAAAAACATTTGCCGTTTTTTCCAGATTATAAATCACACTCTTTTCATCCTTTGGCTGGGTTTGCGACGTATATATTGAGATATATTATTTTACATGTTCGTATTCTGACACTGACAGCCGCTAGAGGGCACTCTAGGCTCTTGTACCTGTATCTGCTACTCCTGTACCACTGAAAACTTACATGGTCGTTATTTTCACACTGACAGCCTCTAGAGGGCACTGCTGCGACTTATACTCCGGAGCAACTTATACATGATTTTTTTTTTCTTCTTCATTATGCATTTCTTGGTCGGCGCGACTTATAGTCCGGAGTACTGTAGTTATACCACAGATTTATGAAGAATACTACTAGTACTACAGAAAATAGGAACAAAAACATGTTGTTTTGCTGTTGGCAAGCAAGTTGACAACTTAAAGAGTAAAACTGGTTTAATCTTGATTCCTGATCCTGGTCTGCTGTATCAGTCATTACTTTGTTAGCACAGTCACAACAGAAGCTAAATTTGGCCCATAAGTGGCTCGGGAGCCACAGGTTGCAAACCCCTGCCAAATACCTACAGTATATTTATAGCAAAGTTTAGCTGAAAAGAAGAGAAACATCATCAAACAACATGTCACTGAAGAGTCCAGTGTGGATGGAGTGCAGACTTCTGATAAAGTCTGCAGGTGTTCGTCTTTCTCTGACAGCTTCCTTCCTGGAGAGACTTCTTCCGCTACTTTTGCTTCCCTTTCTGACGCCGACTCTGTTCTCACGTCTCTTGGTCAAATATCTCAGATAAATCACGAGGAGGCGATAACTTGTCAGAGTCTTTGAAAAGACTTGTCACCCCCGGCGTCGACTGTAATTCCTCTTTCTCTTGGATGTCGGTGTCAGTCTGTCAGGGAGGCGTCTTTGTTGCTCCGCTGACGCATCGTCGTTGCCTTCAGTGTTATTTTTATAAGACAACACGCTCCCCAGGATGGAGCACAGGTGACTTGTTTAATTCCCAGTGTCTGAGCCGTAGTTTGTTTTTACCGTACAGTGAAGAACTGGAGCAGAGAGCTGTGTTTCTCTAATGGAGCCTGGTTTTATAAAGGATCATTCCAGTGTTTTTAAAGTGTTTTTTTTGGGGGGGGGGTATTTATCAGTGATTGCTCGATCAGATGCTCTAGATTGGTAGTGGTCAGATATTGGTCAAAATTACTGGATTGAATATCAGAAAAAAACCCAACAGTAGACGATACCAAAGCCTAAACACTCTACTTAACTTTGCTCGACATGTCACCACTAGGGACACGGTCACATCAGCAACGGCAGCTCGCAACATACTGGAGGAGAAAAGAAGGTATCGGATTGATATCGGTACTGCCAGATACTCCAAGTTCCGGTATCGTATCGGACGTAAAAAAAAATTGTAGCGAGGCATCCTTAGGATTTATTAGTGGATTTAAATAGTACATAATAAAATATGTATTGACTTGTCGTGTTATTTTATGATCTTTTCATATCGATTTTACAATAATAACCATTATCCTCACAGTCATAAACGAATCGTGAGGTACCTAGAGACCCCCCCCCCCCCCCAATTATTTTTTCCCATTGTGAGCCACAGCTTTATTTAAGTAAAATACAAGAATACAACATAGGATCCTGGTTCCTCCTCTGTTTCCTCTCAACAGCAGTTCATTCTTAGGGCGCAGGAATATAAATCCCAGGTCCTCCCTGGAGCTGGCTTTACTTTTGCTATAACTTTCAGCACACACACACATTGAAACTGACTAGAAAAGTGGGTTTGAAGTCCATGTATGCATTTCTGAATACCTCTCTGAATGCTGTAGCAGCACCAGTGAAATAAAAAGTCCACACAGAGCAAGTATGATCAAACCAGGGCTGAAAAAAACGTCCTCTTCTCCCCTCGCTCTTGATTTGGTCTGATTTTAGGTCAGAGCTCCTGGAAACACCTGAGTCATCACACTCTATTAGTTTCAGCCCCTGACTCTCTTTAGCTGCCAAGTTGACTGTAACTTCTGCGAGCTCAGCATCCATAGATTTTTTAAAACTCATTTTACATTTTACTGGATTAAATCACACGCGCCCTCCGGAGGCCGCCGTGTGACTGGCCCTGGCAGGATTTGATTTAATGCACTCACTCCTTCATGAATTCCCTTTTTTAACACACGTAATGGCACACACCCTGACAGGTTCAGGTCATAACTTAGTAAACCAAAGTGGGTTGAACAAAGTTGAACTGAATTTGATTTGATTTCTCTCCATTTTTCCACGCGACGGCGCGGACCGGTTGCCAGATCCGATTGATTTTACAGATGCAATGAAGGATCCGGGATCTGGAGACGTTGGCGACAAATCAGTACTGAATGAATAGACTGCATTTATAAGTGATGAGAGAACAATTGACAGTTGGTTAAATATCATGATGTTAATGATATATATATTGATATATATATGAATTGGTATATATATATTTATCCATTGTAATATATAAAAAAATATATATAAAGCAGCATTTGTGAAAAGAATATATATATATTTTATGTGTGTATGTTGTGTATATATGTAAATATATATGTATATGCATATATATATATTTACATGTATGTACGTGTACATACATACAGCATTGTGCATATGCATTTAGAAAATTATTACAGACACATTTTTAAAATAATATTCTTTTCACAAATGCTGCTTTATATATTTT